TTGAAGACAGCATTGAAAGTCACGTTTCAGTGTTTGCAGATGACACAAAACTCGGTAAAATAATACAATGTGAGCAAGATATTACTTTGCTGCAGAGGGATTTAGATAGACTGTGGGACTGGGCACTCAAATGGCAGATGAAATTTAATGTTGAAAAATGCAAAGTTATGCACTTCGGCGTAAAGAAAACACAAGCAACTTATACCCTTAATGGAAGTGAATTAGGGATAACAACACACGAAAAGGACTTGGGAATTGTTATAGACAACAAACTATGCAACAATGTGCAATGTCAATCAGCAGTGGCCAAGGCCAGTAAGGTATTGTCATAGATGAAAAAGGGCATTCATTCTCGGGATGAGAATATCATTTTGCCTCTTTATAAATCACTGGTAAGACCACATATTGAATATGCTGTGCAATTTTGGGCACCTGTTCTAAAGAAGGATATTATGGCACTAGAAAAAGTGCAGAGGCGGGCTACAAAATTAATACAAGGAATGGAACATATCAGCTATGAAGAAAGGTTAACAAATTTAAGCCTATTTAGTTTAGAAAAACATCGCCTGAGAGGGGATATGATAACATTAAATAAATATAATTGAAGCCAATACAAATCATTGTGTGGAAATCTATTCACAAACTGGACTTTACATAGGACACGATGTCATGCGTTTAGACTGGAAGAAAGAAGATTTTGTCTAAGGCAAAGGAAAGAGTTTTTTACTGTAAGAACAATAAGGATGTGGAATTCTCTGCCTGAAGAAGTGGTTTTATCAGAGTCCATACAGATGTTCAAACGGCTACTAGATGCATACTTGCAAAAACAGAATATTCAAGGATATAATCTTTCAATGTAGTGTAATAACTGCTTGATCCAAGGATAAATCTGACTGCCATTCTGGGGTCAAGAAGGAATTTTATTCCTAGCTTGTTGCAAATTTGGAAGTGCTTTAAACTGGGTTTTTTGCCTTCTTTTGGATCAACAGCAAAAAACAGATGTGAACAAGGCTGAACTTGATGGAGGCAAGTCTCTTTTCAGCTTTGTAACTATGTAACTCTATTATGGATCCTTTGATCGCTACATCTATTACTTGGATAACTGGTAATTCTCGAGGTAATACATGCCGATGAGCACTAGGGGACACCCACTCCGCTTTTTCACCCTTCTCCCTCTTATGCTGTGCTGGTGCCTCTGTGCGACCAGCGCCTCTTCCTCCAAACTGCACATGTCAGTCACATGACCTTGATTCCATGTGGGGTCTAGGACCTCATCATCCTCCACATCATCTTCCACCCACTCCTCAACCCTGCCCCCTCCTTGCCGGTATGCACACTGCAGAAAGCCACAGCAGTTGGCACCTGTGTTTTTCCAGCATGTAAAGTCTGCAAAGGACATATGGAAATTGTTTTAGAATTGTATCCAGGCAACAGTTTTCCCTATAAACTGACCTATCAGTTTGACTTGTGAGGATATTGTCCCAGAATTACAATATTATTTAAGTACCTCTTAGCTATTGATAACTGGTTTAAATATAGCAGCTTGTTATCTGGTAGTTTCTAGTGTAGAAAATATTAATCTGTTTTCTATCACTTAGATCTGTGTAACAAGTGTTGTAGATGTGAAACAATATTACAAGTGACCGATGTAGTAAATTTGAATCAAAGTTACGCTTCGATTTGCCTCTCCGATATGAAGTGCAGGCCGCAAATGTACTATTTAGCAGATTAGCACCTAGAAAATAAGAATTTTTACAACTGCGCAGTAAGCGCAGTATTAGACGCTTCTATTTGACTCTCAGATATGAAGAGCAACCCCAAAATGTACTATTTAGCAGATTAGCAGCAAAACAATTAGAATTTTTACAACTGCGCAGTAAGCGCACTATTAGACGCTTCTATTTAACTCTCAGATATGAAGTGCAGGCCGCAAATGTACTATTTAGCAGTTTAGCAACAAAACAATTAGAATTTTTACAACTGTGCAGTAAGCGCACTATTAGACGCTTCTATTTGACTCTCAGATACGAAGAGCACACCCAAAATGTACTATTTAGCAGTTTAGCAGCAAAACAATTAGAATGTTTACAACTGCTCTATAAGCGCAGTATTTGACACTTCTATTTGACTCTCAGATATGAAGTGCACCCCACTAATGTACTTTTTAGCACCCAAAAAAATTTGTTTTAAAACTGCAATGTGACAACAGTATTTGACGCTTCTATTTGACTCTCAGATAAGAAGTGCACCCCACCCCACTAATGTACTAGTTTGCAGAATTCTTTCCTAAGCTGTCCTTATCAGCGGCAGCATCCTCTCCCTTCACT